AGCTCTTCGACGTCGACATGGGTGTGATGAGATCAGGTGTGTGATGGGATCAGGCTGCGCGCCTTTGAATCTCCCTTAATGACCACTCCTGCGCGTGGGCGTTTGCAAGGCTCTTGGGGAGACCTTCAGGCATTGATCGGCTCCCGCCGTCTTCCCTCTGTTTCCCAGGGAGAGCTGAGCAGGGCTGACCTCCCCGGCCCTCCAGGAGCTGAATGCCCTTGGCAGACAAGGGCTGATGGCCTGAGTGAGAAGTGTGGGGAGTCCCAATCGTTTCTGTCTGAACCTGCACTTCAAGCAACTGGACTAACTTGGTGGATTGTTCAATGCCCGCAAAGTTCTCCCATCTCTACAAGCTCATCCCTTTTCAAGGAGACGGTGCTCCTCCTGTCCACAGGGGGCGCTGTTGCCCCGCCCCTGTAGTGTTTATTTATGTATTTATTTTATTTTTAATTTTTTAAATATTTTATTTATTTCTGAGAGAGACAGCGTGAGCAGGGGAGGGGCAGAGAGAGGGGGAAACACAGGATCTGAAGCAGGCTCCAGGCTCTGAGCTGTCAGCACAGAGCCCGACGCGGGCCTCGAACCCACAAACTGTGAGATCACGACCTGAGCCGAAGCTGGATGCTTGACCGACTGAGCCCCCCAAGGATCCCCAAGGACTTCAAATTATTATAAAAGAGCATGAAGATTATATAGCTACAGTTTCTGAATTTCTCAAACTTATTCCATTTCAAAAGCTGAAGGCAAAGTTCACACAGCAGAATATTCATGAGACTGCGCCTCCTTTGTATTCACCTGTAAAAACCAAGAACCAAACCACAGCTTCACAAAGACGTAGCTACTTCTGGGCTCCGTTACTGCCGGCGTCACAGCCCGCTGGAACTAATTGTCACTGTCCCGTTAACAGTTTTCACAATACATCTTTCCTACAAAGACAAAGAAGAAGTGAGGGAATGTGGATTTCCCACACTGAAGCCAAGGTACTAGAATCTTCTATCTTCTGTTTTTAATAAGCGGCAGCTCTCTTTCTCCCCCACTGGGAACTGTCCACACAGCACAGCGCCGCATACAATGGATCGTCCCAGGGAGAGGTTTACTTAGATTTACATTACGGTGCAGGAGCAGATGCTAAGCACCTCTCTGCTCCTCCCCTGCTCATGCTCTGTCTCTCTCTCAAAAATAAATAAACACTGAAAAATTTTTTTAGTAATGTCTACACCCAGCATGGGGCTCGAACTCACGACTCTGAGGTCAAACCCTGGCCTAAGCCAGCCAGGCACCCCTGAATTTTTTTCCTTTGAAGTAAAAGGTAAAATGTACACACAAGGACTTTCATAAATCTTAAGTATACATTTGCTGAGTTTTAAATAAAAATTGTTAATGTTTATTTATTTTTGAGAGAGAGAGAGAGAGAGCACGAGTGGGGGAGGGGCAGAGAGAGAGGGAGGCACAGAATCCGAAGCAGCTCCAGGCTCCGAGCTGTCAGCACAGAGCCCAACGCGGGGCTCGAACCCACGAACCGTGAGATCATGACCTGAGCCGAAGTCGGACGCTCAACCACTGAGCCCCCAGGCGCCCCCACACTTGCTGAGTTCGGTGGGAATGAGCCCCTATTAAAATAGCATTCAGTTCACCGTGTGGGGGCCAAGTAACAGCCCCCGACGTGTCCATGTCCTAATTCCTAGGTATTCACCTCCCGTGGCAACAGGGACCTTGCAGACGGGATTATGTTAAGGACCCCGCGAAGGGGCGACCCCGGAGTCCCCAGAAGGAGCCCGCCCTGCCCCCACGCTGGAGGTCGTCAGGGGTCACCGGATGGACATGGTGCTGGCGCCCCTGTGAGCTGGGAAGCCGTGCTCCCCGGAGGAGCTGCCCGAGGACACAGCCTTGAGAGCGCGGGTGCTGTCGAGACGTCTGGAGTGTCGTGGGTCCCTGCTCACGAAGCTGTCCCTGTCCTCTGCCTGGAGACCCCGACGCGCGCCAGCGTCCCCCCCCCGCAGCGCCCCCCGCAGCGTCCCCCCCCCGTGCCAGCGCCCCCCCGCAGCGCCCCCCGCAGCGCCCCCCCCCGTGCCAGCGCCCCCCCGCAGCGCCCCCCGCAGCGCCCCCCCCCGTGCCAGCGCCCCCCCGCAGCGCCCCCCGCAGCGCCCCCCCCCGTGCCAGCGCCCCCCCGCAGCGCCCCCCGCAGCGTCCCCCCCGCGCCAGAGGCCCCCCCGCCCCCGCGCGCCCGGGCCCACGTGGACTTCCCACCGGTAGTAACGGGTCACAGCCGCGCTAGGAACTGCGTGCACGCTCATTGGCCGGGACTGGTCACATGGCCCAGTCCCTGAACCAATCAGCTGGCGAGCCATTCGCACCCACTAGGACCGCGAGCGTTCTTCGATCTTCGTTTCCAAGCGGCAGTTATTTCAGATACTGTGCGCGTTCCCATTGCGGGCTGTGCGTATATTTGATGTTGACGGATAAAAAGAATATGAAATCACCCAAGTTACAACGGGATCTTCAGATGCTTATATGGTTCACCAAATGATAAAAGAAAAAGGCAAAATTATGGGGCGCCTGGGGGGCTCAGTCGGTTAAGCGACCGACTTTGGTTCAGGTCATGACCTCACGGTTCGTGGGTTCGAGCCCCGCGTCGGGCTTTGTGCTGCCAGCTCAGAGCCTGGAGCCTGTTTCGGATTCTGTGACTCCGTCTCTCTCTGCCCCACCCCTGAGCACGCTGTCTCTCTCAGAAATAAAACATTAAAAAAAATTAAAAATATATATATTGATTAAAAAAAGAAAAAGGTAAAATTATATTGGGGGGAGGGGCTAAAATTTTAGGTAGGCGTTTGAGCAGTGTCCGCAAATGTTTTCTGTGGACGCTTTTGCCCCCCGCGTGGTCTCTGCGCAAACAGTCCCGTCTGGCCTAGGAGCCAGGGAGCAGGCAGAGACACCCGTGTGCCACCCGTGTGCCACCCGTGTGCGACAGAACTTTATCTACAACCAGCGGGGGCGGGTCCGGCGCCAGGCAGGCCGCGTTTGGCCGGACTCCTGCTGCAGGGTGTTGTCGGAGCTCAACCGGAAATCGCAATACGGATTCACACTCTTCAAACTCTCTTTCTACCCGACCGCTAAGCAGCGCCCCCCCCCCCCGGAATTAGTGTGCAGTAATTGAAGAGGCGCCCACAGTACCCAAAATGCAGCCGCCAGACGCTCCTCCCTCCCCACCAAATGCACTCTTTTCCACCCCAGGGAACAGCGATCAATGGCGACTTGTTTTGTCTTTGCGGCGGGAAGGGGGGCCTGCAGGATGCCGTCGCCAGAAGGGAGGGCGGCTTCCCCAAATTCTAAGGGGTGTTGCAGGTAGGCAGGGGCCCACATAGTCGTATCCTTCATAAATAATGGTCCCAATCAAAACTACCCGAATCTGAATCCCGTGAATCCGTAATTATCTTTAAAAGGCAAGAATAGGATTTTCTTTTTTTCTCCTAAATTTTAAATGTTATTTATTTTTGAGAGAGAGAGAGACACAGAGCACAAGCAGGGGAGGGGCAGAGAGAGAGGGAGACACAGGATCCGAAGTAACTCCAGGCTCCGAGCTGTCAGCACAGAGCCCGACGTGAGGCTCGAACCCACGAACCGGGAGATCATGACCTGAGCCGAAGTCAGATGCTTAACCGACTGAGCACCCCAGCCCCCCCCCACCCCACATTACTTCTAGAGTGGAAAAAAAATTATCCCCAGGTTTGGGACCCCTTTGTCCATGGTTATAATGTTGCATGGTTTGGCTTTGGGTACATTTTTTCATCCTAAAAGAGCAGAGGCAGTGAGCTCGAAAGGTGGCATTTTATGAAGCCCAGGGGGAGAGGCTGCTGACGGAGCTCGTCGTGTTGCAAGGTGTTGAGCTACAGGCTGCCCGTGGCTGTGTCCTCACCCCCAGGGGGAGAGGCTGTCCCCAGGGCAGGGCATTGGCTGTCAGTGCAGGGAAGCCCCTGCAAGGCTTTAAGCAAAGGCTCCAAGACCCCAGGTCAGGTCTGGAGGAGACTGGACTCTACAGAGTGAGGCTGGGGGCTGTCCCGGGAAGCAGCGGACAGTGTAAACTAATACGTGGGGTCCCTTGTTCCAAAGTTATGACACATGTCGAGGTGGTGACAGCAGAGCCTTGCGTCAAGCATGGGGCCCTGGATGACCCCTTGGGCCGCCTGCCGTGAAGGTGACGGCGCTGGGGGCCCAGGAATGGGGCGCATCCAAGGTCTGCTTTGGCGGAAAGCGCTCGTAGAGTTTTGGGCAGAGACTGGACGCTGAGGCGGGACGGCTTTCCTGCGGCGGCTGTCCTAGGGGTCAGTGGGCCACGGCCCCCCAGCCCGGACACCCGGCGTGGGGGTGGGTCTCCCGGTCACTATCAGACGCTGAATTGTCGCCGATGTTACGCAGCGTGTCCTGGAGTCCTGCGAACAGATGAGGAGGGGCTGCTGGGCCCGACCCACCCCGCTCTCCGGCCACCCTGACCAGGCCCAGGACTGGGAAGAGGCTCGGCTGCCTCAGCATCTCGACCCCTGGCCCCTGGTCAGCAACCCTCCTTCCCGGAACCCCTCCCCCAGGCTGCGGCTCCGGGCTCGACCCCCGCCCCGGGCTGCCGAGGACTTTCCGGTGTCCCTCTTCAGGCGTCCGGGCCCTCCGACACTATGGGCGGCCTTAGCAGTTTGGGGGCCCGGTCCAGCCGGCACCGCCTGTCGGGCACCTGACCCCGAACAGTTCTTTCTTCCTCCGCTCCCGCCCCCCATGCCCGCTCTCCCTCGCCCCGCCCCCTCCCCTCCCCTCCCGTCTCCCCGCCTCCCCCCCCCCTCCCCTCCCCTCCCCTCCCCTCCCCTCCCGTCTCCCCGCCTCCCCCTCCATTCCCCTCCCTCCTCCACTCGCCCCGCCCTCCCCTCCCCTCCCTCCGCTCCCTCCCCTCCCCTCCCCTCCCCTCCCGGCTCCCCACCCTCCTCCCGCCCGCCCCGCCCCGCGGCCGCCTCACCGACAAGATGGCGGCGGGTGGGAGCGGCGGGCGCGCGTCGTGCCCGCCGGGGGTCGGCCCGGGCGCGGGGGGCGGCCCCGGGCCCAGCGCCAACGCCGCCCCCGCCCCCGGCAACGCGGCCGCCGCCGCCGCCGCCGCCGCCGCCGCCGCCGCCGCCCCGGCCCCCGCCGCCCCCGGGCCGCCCCCCGCTCCGGGCCCGGGGCCGGGGCCGGGGCCGGGGCCGGGGCCGGGCGCGCAGGCCGCGGCGGGCGGGGAGCGGGCGGCCGAGGAGCCGGGGGCGGCGGCGCTGCTGCGCGAGCCCGTCTACAACTGGCAGGCCACCAAGCCCACGCTGAAGGAGCGCTTCGCCTTCCTCTTCAACAACGAGGTGCTCTGCGACGTCCACTTCCTGGTGGGCAAGGGGCTCGGCGCGCAGCGCATCCCCGCGCACAGGTGGGCCGCCGCCCGCGCCCCCCCGGCCCCGGGCCCCCCGGGGCCCACTTTGTCGGAGCCCTTGACCCTGCCAGGCCCCCACCTGCCCTTCAGCCCCCTTGTGCCAGCTACAGCCTGCCCGGCGCCTCCCACGCTCCGCCCCCGGCAGAGACTCCCAGCTTTAGGGTGCCAGACCTGCCACCCAGGGGTCCCCAGGCACGGCCCCTCCCCCAGCCTCCTCCACCACTGGGCCCCACCTCCCTGCCCCGGGGACCTCCTGCACCAAACGGCCCGTCCTTCCCCTGTGGCGACCCCCAGGCCCCCAGCAGACTCCTGCCTCCTGACCCCGGGAGCCCCGAAACCACATAACCCCCTCAGGGACGCCCCAGTGCCCCGGCCTCTCTGGAAAAGGGACCCAGGTCCTGTGCTTCTGCCCGTCCCCAGGGCTCAGCCCCAGGCCCCGGGCAGGGCGGAGCTGACGTCAGACTCCCTGTTCTTTGCCGGCCTCCCTGCCTCTGCTGCCCGTTGCCCTCCAGGGACCTGGGGAGCTCGCTGCGGGGAGGGGGGGGGGGCTACATTGGAGGAAGGGGACTGGGGGGTTTCTTGCCGCTGGCCTGGAGTGCTCCCCAGCTGGCTGTGAGTCGTCCTTGCTACTTTTCTGGCCTGTGGCCTTGATTTAACCTGTGCCTTTGAGATTTTTCTTCCCGGCTTTTTCTTGGTTATTTATGTACAACTGGATCTAGATTCCTGTCTGCAGAATGTTCCAGGCCTATGGTTGGGTCCCCAGAACCTCCCATGGCTCCTCCCTCCCCTGTGCGCGTGCAGCTCTCTCCGGCGTCTCTGACATGGGCCTCACCCCCACCCAAGGTGGAGTAGGGGCTGGTCTGTGTGCTGCCATGAGCCCCCGCCCCCGGCCGGCAGCCCCCCCCCCAGGCCTCCCTGACGCCATCGTGCTCCCGGATACTGGTCAGCCAGGCCTGGTCTGAAATGACGCTCCCCTCCCTCACCACCTTCGGGGAACAGAATAAGTCAGGTGAGGCTGCACCAGCCCCTGCCTGCCTGACCCGAGCCCTCTGGGGACGGGGTCAGTTGGATGTGGATGGAAGCCCCACAGGGAGGTTGTGGGGGGGGCTCAGGTTTCTGCTTGAGGGGAGCCAGATGCCCCCAGGCCCCAGTGGCCTCCGCGCCTGTCCTCGATTGAGCGTGACTGTCCGTTGCTGGTGAAGTAGGGCTGAGGCAGGTGAGCGTGGGGACCCCCAGGAGAAGTGGGGGTGAAGGGCGTGGCCCCCGGGGGCTCAGGAGAAGTAGGAGGGCAGCCAGTGGCCGTGGCCGTGGCCAGGAGCAAGGGGTCTGGTAGGAAATGGTGGTAAAGCACGGCCAGCTGGTGGGACTTCTGAGAGCAGGTGGGAGACGCAGTGCTCTGGGGGCGGTGACCAAACCCGTACCCTGAGCAGGGGCACCGAGGGCGCGGGGAGGGCCGGTCTGGAGACCAGACGAGCTGGGCACCCGGGAGCCACAGCAGGGGCTGGGGACACTGAGTGACTGCCCTGAAGGGTGGACTGGCTGGAGTTGGAGCCTCAGGTGCTTGGTGGGGACGGTAGAAAGGGAGGCAGAGGGCTCAGCTTCCCTTGGGGGAGGTGCCTCCCCGTGGTGCGGCGGGGGACGGGGGCACCGCGGCTGTGGTCCCCCGGAACCTGGCTGCCGCATCCTAGGGAAGGGCAGGCGTGGCAGAGACGCACGTGGAGGCCTGATGCCCTTGGTGGAGAGCTGGCCAGAGGCCGTGTGGGCCTGGGGTCTGCGGCTCTCAGGGGCCGGGCGATGGGGGGGATGGGGGCGATGGGTGGCCTAGGGGGTGCCGTGTGGATGGGGGAGGTGGGGTGGTGCCGAGGACGGGCTGCAGGGAGCCACCCTGAGCGTGGGGTCTGGGCATGGGGGGCGCATGCCTACACGCTGACCTTTGCCCCCATGCCTGGCCGCCCATGGGACCTGTGGCTTCCGGCGCCAGTGGCCACGCAAGTCCAGGCCCCCAGGCTGCCCACGCCGGTCCCTGCAGGTGTGGGTCGTCCCCTGGGCCCCGCAGACCCCTGGCCGTGTGTGCCTGGTGCCCAGAGGGGGTGGGTCAGGCCGATGGCGCTTCCCCTGCCCCGGTGCCCTGGCAGTGGTGCCTGCGGTATGGACTTCACTGATAGAAGATTCTGCCTTTGGGTTGTTCCGCACGTTGGTGAGGTTTTCCCTGCAGCAGTAGGTGGGTGCCGCCCAGGGGTGGCACTGTGCTTCCTGTGCCTCAGTTTCCCCACCCGTGAACTGGGACTGACCACTCAGATGCCTCCATCCCGGGGCCTCTGGGAGGATTGACTCAGTGGCCCCAGCGAGTCCCTATGACCATGGTCGGGGGTGAACTTGAGTTAGGTGTGGGATGTAACCCAGAGCTTGGAAACATGCGGGCGGCCGCGCAGGCAGGAAGCCGTGGTTGAATCTGCCAGGAGCCGGAGAGGCGGTCGGTATGGGAGAATCCTAGTGTGCGCCCCCGCCCCCCACACCCCTGGCCGCTGCCACGCTGCTCCTGGGGCTCCCCTTGCTTGTAAAGACCTGAGCGGAAAGCGGATGGAGGTAACCTGACCGCTGCGAAACCTGGCAGACGCCTCCTTAGCCAGGGGTCAAGGTCACCTTCGGAGAGGCGTCGAGTGGCTGCGGGGACCAGGAGGGCCCCTCGCCTGCAGGTGCTCTTCCCCCAAACCACGCTCCAGGGCCGTGGGGTGAACGGTGGCCACCAGGCAGGTGTGTCCACGCCCTAGTGGGTGGTACCTGTGGGCGTGACCTTCTTGCCGGGGTGATGAAGTTAGTGGTCTGGGGATGAGCACGTCCTGGGTCATGTGGGTGGGCTCTCAACCCAGTGACCAGTGTCTTCATAACAGACCCAGAGGAGAAGCCACCGGATGACCACGGGCAGGCACTGCGGGGGGAGACGAGGCCACGGGACGCCCGCGGCCCCCGGAGCTGGGAGGGACAGGAACGACCCTCCCCGGGAGCCTCCGGAGGAGGTCACACCGTGACCCGGGCTCCCGGCCTCCAGGACGGAGAGAGGGGGAAAGCGTGCTGTTTGGACTTGCCCAGCGTGTGGTACCTGCTTAGATCGGCCCCGGGAGACCAGACCGATCGCAGGAAAACACCCCACAAACCCAGAGCGGGGACACCCCGCAGGACACCTGGCCACACATCCTGGAGGGTCTCAAGGTCACGAAGACCTGTCACAGCCTAGCAGAGCCTGAGGAGGTGACCATGTGCCTCGTGGGGCCCTGGGGGGTGTCCTGGGGCAGAGAGGCGATGCGAGCGCCCCAGCTGGTGGCGTGGGGACCACGTCTGCGGTTCAGGGCACAAAGCAGAGTGGGGGAGGGGCTCGCACGAACTTCGAGGAAGGCGCCTCGGTCGGGCCCTGCGATGGGCACAGGCCGCCCGGCCCGTCGTCCGGGGGCTCCGCTCAGCTCTCACCCTGCGCTGCGTTTCCTGTAACTCTTTCCTTCTAATCTCGGTCCCGGCCGCTGTCGGCTTCTGTCCTCCGCTGCGGCCAAGGCCCAGGGGCGGGCCTGGCGGACAGGTGCTCAGTGAGGCCCCGGCCCCGGGCCGCCCCCGCCACGTGCGTCTTCTCCTGCTGGGGTTGCTCCGAGGAGACCCCGAATCTCCTCCGGTTGGGAGACTCTTGTAGAAGCCGGGTGGGCCCACGAAGCCAGGGCCCCAGATGTTCTTTGTGGTCTTTTTTAACATGTTATTTCTTTTTTTGGGGGGGGAGACCCCGAGTCTGAAGCAGGCTGCCAGCACGGAGCCCGACGTGGGGCTCGGTCTCACGAACCGTGAGGTCAGGAGGTCAGGACCTGAGCCGAGGTCGGCCGCTTGGCCGCCCTGAGCCCCCCCCCCCCCCCGGCGCCCCCCGGTTCAGTCACAGGAACGCGGCCCCACAGGGAAGCCTCGCAGCGGAACAGGCTCTCGGGGCCGCGTTTCAGCGACCGTGTTCTCTGCACGGCCACGCGGCTCCCAGCGACCGGCCCAGGCTCTCGTTCCCAGTTTCCTTCTCTGCCGAGGCTTTTCCAGCCGGTCTCACCCTTGACCCTTCCGGTGCCCGTCACCCACCCGTCCCTCCCCCCCTTCCATCACTGTCATCGAAACATGGTGGCACCCCTTTCCCTGCGGGACGCCCGCCAGCACAGACTTAGGCAAACGGCCAGACGGCGAACACTCCTGCGGCCGCACCGTCTGCCCCACTTCCTCAGTCCCGTCCTGGCCGCCGCGGCATGGAAGCGAACGATCGTGGGTGTGTTCCAATAAAACTTTATTTGTAAAAGCAAGTGGTGAGCCAGGCGCCGGCCCCGAGGCATCCTTGTGATCCTTAGAGTCCGTCTGTCAGGCAAGCGCTCAAGGAACTTACTGGGGGGCTGGTCCCCCAGTGACACCAGGCCGAGGAGAACGGACAGCCCAGCCACAGAGCGCGTGCGGGAGCATAGTCTCCCTCCATTTGTTCAGGGCATTTTTTATGTTCACAGGATAGTTTTGTACTGTTCTTCGTATCGTTTTCTTGCACATTTTTGCTTACTCTTACTCCTGTTTTTTTTTCCTCTGTTGCGAATAATCTTTTAAAAAATGTTTTTAAGTTTTCTTATTTTTGAGAGAGAGACATACACAGCGAGCAGGGGAGGGGCAGAGAGAGGGAGAGAGAATCCCAAGCAGGCTCTGCAAGTCAGCATGGAGCCCGATGCGGGGCTTGAACTCACAAACTGTGAGATCATGACCTGAGCCGAAACCAAGAGTCAGACGCTTAACTGACTGAGCTGCCCCGGTGCCCCGTGAATAATGTTCATTATATTTTTCCAACTGGTTCTCGCTGGGAAGTTATATGGTGTTTGCATATTTATTTTTATCTGATTTGAATTTTTTAATGTTTTATTTTTGAGAGAGTACGAGTGGGGGGAGGGTCAGAGAGGTGAGCACAGAGGATCCGAAGCAGGCTCTGTGCTGCTGACTCCAGTGCGGGGCTCGAACCCATGACCTGAGCCGAAGTCGGACGCTCAACCAACTGAGCCACCCAGGTGCCCCTGATGCAATGATTCCTGTCTGAACCCTTGTTCGTGAATACTTGTTCCGTGGAGCCTGTGGCCTGGTGCTGTCCGATAGACTTCTCTGTGACGATGTTCTAGATTCAGGCTGTGCAATAGTAGCTACACGGGCTGTTAAGGATTTGAAATATGGCTGTTGCAACTGAGAGTTGAATCTTTATTTATTTTTAATATTTTATTTATTTCTAGGAGAGAGAGAGAGAGACAGCGTGAGCAAGGGAGGGTCAGAGAGAGAGGGAGTCACTGACTCTGAAATAGGCTCCAGGCTCTGAGCTGGCAGTCAGCACAGAGCCCGACGTGGGGCTCGAACCCACGAACCGCGAGATCATGACCTAAGCGAAAGTCGGACGCTTAACCGACTAAGCCACCCAGGCGCCCCGAGAGTTGAATCTTTAATGAAAAGAATATGTTTTGCATTTAATTTATTCTAGAGTGAGAGAGAGAGCACGGGAGCCAGGGAGACGGGCAGAGCCAAAGAGAGAGAGAGCCAGAGAGAGAGTCCTAAGCAGGCTCCATACTTAGAAGGAAACTCAACACAAGGCTCCATCCCACGACCTTGGGATTGTGACCTGAGCCGAAATCAACAGGTGCTCGACCGACTGAGCTGCCCTGGCGCCCCGAATCTTTAACTTTATTTTTTTAAATGTATCTTTTTTTTTTTTTTTAAGTGTTTTATTTATTTCTACGAGAGAGAGAGGGAGACAGCATGAGCAGGGGAGGGTCAGAGAGAAAGGGAGTCACAGACTGAAACAGGCTCCAGGCTCCGAGCTGGCAGTCAGCGCAGAGCCCGACGCGGGGCTCGAACCCACGAACCGCGAGATCATGGCCTAAGCGAAAGTCGGACGCTTAACCGACTAAGCCACCCAGGCGCCCCCCGAATCTTTAACTTTAATCTGGACTTAAATAGCCCTGCGTGGCCAGGAGTACCGCATTGGGCGGCGCAGTCCTAGAATTTCCAAATTTGGAAATCCTGTCGTGGGCAGATTATTTCTCTCCCTCTGATTTCTGCCGCTTAATGCTTTTCTTGCTGCATTGCTGGCCGCAGGGACTTGCCCCATGCCAGGTGCCAGGCAGCCACCTTTGCACCGTGTGGACGGCGTCTCTGAAGCTCTCTCTGTTCCCTGCCTGCCGATGGGTGTCCTGAGCTGTGGGCGCGGGCGCTGCTGCTCCAGTCTGGCTGCGCGGAAGAGGTGCGAGCTTGTGCCCTGATGGCCACCACCCCCGGGGTCCCCCCTGCCCGCTGGCTGTCGGTCCCCGCCCCACCTGAACACCACGTATTTAGCCCACGGTCTGTATCGCATGCGGGGTCCTTTGTGATTAGGGAAATCATAGGGAGGAGGACGGACGTTTGCAGTCCGGTGCCGCCTTCACTGAAAAACATCTGCGGGTGAGTGGCGTCCACACACTCGAGCCCGTGTTGTTCAAGGTCAGCTACAGCTCATTTATCTGTATTGGTAATTCAGGCCCTTGCTGAATTCAGCTGTACGGACGCCACTCCGTCCGTCCCTATACCGGCCGGCGGGCGTGTGGCCCTGCCCCCGGTCCTCACGAGCACGGATCGTGTGCGCAGGTCTGTGCGTGGCCATACGGGTCCTCTGGTCCTGGATGAACACCTCCGAGTGGGCTGTTGGAATTCTGGGGTGACTCGTGACATTTTCAGAAAGTGCCAGGCTGTTTTCCAACGCGGCCATGCCGTCGGCCCCTCGCCGTGTTCGGGGGTCGCCGCGGGGTCTCTGGGCTCGTTCTCCGTTTTCTGGGAGACCCTGCCCACGGTCGGTGTCACTTGCGGCGTGGTCGGCACGGGTCCCCCGTGGAGCCGTCTGGGACCGCGCTCTGCGGGGGGAGGTCGCCTTCCTTAGGGTCCTGAGCCACGTTCGCGCCCTCGCTCCTGATTTCGGTGCTTCTCATCTCCTGTTTCCAGTGGTTTCTCTGCACCCCCCGCCCCGTGCCCGACTTCACGGGGGTCTGCTCCCACCTTGACTGCCCCTTCTCGGGTGTGGTTTCCCAGGTTTTCTGGGCTCCTGACACAGAAGCTCGCCTCGCGGGTCCCTGGGCCCTTGTTCGTAGATGCGCGACGTGTCCTTCGAGCCGTGAGCCTCGTGCCGGCCTGTCGTGTTGTCTTCATTCCCGCTAAGATCTTTCCTCACTTCCCGGTGTTCCTCCGTGGACCCGTGGCTTGCTTACGAGTGGGGTCATCCGCGAGCATTTGGGGGTTCCTCACACTTCCTGTGTTGGTCAGCTGGTGATCGGAGTCGTGTTTGGAGGGCACTGCCCGGCGCACCTGCCGTGCTGAAGGGGGTGGCCTGTCCCTTCCGCGTGGGCCCATCCAGTCACTTAGTAGCATCTTCACGGACTCTGGCTGCCCGCCCTCCTGGGAGGCGCTGGCCCGCTAAGTCGGGGCCCGTCTGCGCTCAGTTCTGTGCCCTCACCGTCCCTCCCCGCGCTCGGGCGTCCCTCCTGCCCCCTGACCCGGGCGCTGTCGCCCGGTGTGTGAGGTCCGTGCCCGCCCGCCCGGCGTCGGGGCTCGGCCTTGACACACCAGGCACAGTCAGCAGCCTCTTCTGTGTTTGGGTCGTTTTCCAGCAGGAGACGGAGGTGCTTCTGGGAAGGCACCTTTTCTGGGGACCCGACGCGGGGGCGCCTCAGCGTGGGGACGGGTGCCGCCCGGTGCGGCCGAGCCCACGGCTCAGATGGGCCAGCAGAGCCACACGGAGTCCCCTGCCCCCGCTCCGGGGCCAGGTGTCTGAGGTCACGGTGTCAGCAGCGCCGCGTTCACGTCGGGGCCTCCCCGCCTCCAGCTCCCCGGGCTCCAGGCGCCCCCTCCAGTCTCTCCCTCTGTCCTCGCCGGGCGTCTCCCTGGGCTGGGTCCAAATCCCCCTCTTGCAGACACACCGGCATGGGGTGCGGGCCCCCGCGTGACCTCAGGGGACCAGTCCCGCCCCCGCGTGACCTCATGGGGACCAGTCCCGCCTGCAGGCACTGTCCCCAGCGGTCCCGTTGCGCCTTTCCGGGCGGACGTGGCTCCCGCCGGGCTGGCTCGGGTCTGGTCCCCGCGTGGGATCCAGCCTGGAGCCGCACTGTGACCCCAGCGAGGGCCCCCGAGACGGCCGATGGCGGGGGAGGGAGGGAGGGGCTGGGGGAGCGGTGCTTCTGCCCGGCAGGCGCGGGGGCTGCCCGGCCCGGGGCGGGTGACGTCACTCGTCCGCCCAGTGCTGCCCTGGAGCGGGTGAACGCCTTGCTCCAGAGCGCCTGCCTTCCAGGGGCGTCCGCCACCGCACGTTCCGGGCTGGCGTCTGTGGGGTGCTGGGCAGGGTTGCTCCGCAGCGTCTCCTGGGCCCCCCCCCCCCAGTGGCGGGAGCAGGCGGCCGCGCGGAGGGTAACCGCCGTCTTCTCTGACACGCCAGGTTCGTGCTGGCCGTGGGCAGCGCTGTCTTCGACGCCATGTTCAACGGGGGGATGGCCACCACATCCACCGAGATCGAGCTGCCCGACGTGGAGCCGGCTGCCTTCCTGGCCCTGCTCAAGTAAGACTTTCCGGATCTTTCACGCTGTGGGGTGGGACGGACAAGGCTGATGTTTTACAAAGTACAGACGGAGTTTGGGAAGAAGGTAAAGAGCCCCCGCCCCCCCCCCGGGACAGGGCCACCGGAACCCCTGAAGATTTCCAGAATTGCCTCTCAGGTACAGGGTGCGCTCTGGGGCCCTGCCCCGTTTTCATTTTTGTAGATTTTTGATTGAGATGTAATCTGCACACCGTACAGTTCGCCCGTTCGTAGTGTGATCTCTGGGGCTCGCAGAGCGTTCACGGGCCTGTGCGCCCCTCATCGCTGCCCGACTCCAGCCCCTCGCTCTGAAGAGCAGGCCTGTCCCTCCCCCGCCCCCCGGAGTCCCTGCCCGGCCACGGAGGAGCCTCTTCTGGAGGTTCATGCACGTGGACTCACACCCCGCGTGGCCTTGGTGTCTGGTTCCCTCCCGGGCGTCACGTGTTGAGTCCCGGCCACGCTGCAGGCAGGGCGTTGACGCCCCATTTTCATCCTTCGGGGTCAACAGGAGCTTTGGAAGAAGTAAGACTTAGTGAGGGTGTTAAACTCCACCTCTCGATTTTCCTGCTTTGAGCCTCAGAATCTCTCAAGTACTTGAGATAAACGCGGTGAAGGCCCAGCGTGGGGGCCGCAGGCGGCTGGCGGGACACGGTCCGCTCGGAGCAGAGGTCACACGTGACACCCCCCGCCCCGCCCCGAGGTCTGGCCGCGGGCTCTCCCCGGCTTCCAGGCTGTTCTCCTTGCTCAGCTGAGCACAGCTGTCTTACTTCCGGAAGTGCTGGCTGTGAATCACGGTCACGGCGACCGACTTTACAGATCACCCCAAACAGTTAAAACATCTTTGTAAATGCACGGTTTGTTTTCTGTCTGTTATATACGAAGATAACACAGGTTCACAAAAGAAAAAGAGAGGAAGGGGGGGGAGAGAAAGAAAAGAAAGTTCCAGAACTGTAAAGGACAGATTGGAGCCGCCTCCCACCCACCATGTCCGAAGCCCCGTGAGTCCTCGCTGTGCCTCCAGCTGGCATCCCTGCACCCGCCCTGCCTCCCGGGGCCGCCACCCTTCTCCCCGCCACTGACGGGCAGGATTTCATTCCGGTCGATTGTCTGCGGACGCCCCTTAATCCTGGGCGCTGATGCGGCTGGTCCTGTGTGCTGCCAGCGTCTCCCCGATGACCATGCTTTTGGGAACAGTCTCGTGGCTGTGTGTCTCTGGGGAGCTTCTCGGTGGCCACGGCCGGGCCGGCAGATCGCCCGCGGGGGCCGGACGCCCGTCTCCACTGCTCACGCCGCCGCCGTTACTGTGAAAGCAGCCACAGCCTATTTGACAGCCCCAGGTGGGGCTGTGTGCCAGTAAAACTTTATTTACAAAAGCGGGTGACAAAATCACAAGACGTCACTTTGTACGCGCCAGGGCAACTAATACCAAAAAACCAAACCCAGAAAAGCCAAAGGAAAATGATAAGAATTCATGAGGAAGTGAAGAAATCGGGGCCCTCGTGCGTGGCCCGTGGGAAAGTGACGCCTGGCGGAAAGCGGTCTGGAGGCCCCCGGAGAGGTTTGAACGTAGTCCCCGCGCCCCGGCCGTCTCGCTCCCGGACCCCAGATGTCCCTGCGAGTGGCCAGCAGCAGGGCTTCAAATAGGGGCCGGCACCCGTGGCCACAGCAGCGGCGCCCAGAAAGGTGGGCACGCGCTCGGTGTCGGCTGGCATGTGACATAGCGCGCCCGTCCGCACGCCGCGATGCGATCCGGCCTCAGGAAGGAGGGACGTCCTGCCAGCCGCCACAGCGTGGATGGACCCAGCGGGCACTGCGCGGTGACGAAAGCAGACATAGGACACGTCCACTCACAGGGGTCCCCAGAGGCATCTCGTCCACAGAGACAGAGAGTAGACGGTGGCAGCCGGGGGTGGGGCGGGGGGCAGGGAGTCCCTGCCTCATGGGGACAGGGTCTCAGTCTGGGGAGATGGAAGGTTCTGGAGACGGACGGTGGGGGCAGCTGCACGACGGGGAGTGTGCTTGATGCCACTGAGATGTATGTGTAAAAATGCTTAGGATGCTTTGATTAATGTATGTTTTAAAATTTATTTAATCTCTACGCCCCACATGGGGCTCGAACTCACAGCCCCACCCAAGATCAAGATTTGCATGTGCTTCCGACTGAGCCAGCCAGGCGCCCCCGTGTAGTATTTCATTGTGATGAAGAAAGAGAAGCCATGAAAACACACAGACGGGGCGGGTTTAGATGGAAGTCTGGTGAGAGGCAGGGTCCCGGCTGTAATCTCCCGGCGCCGGGTCCCCCTCGGTCCCTCTGCCCCCTGGGCTTTGATCAGTATTGCTGAGCGGCCCCCAAGTGCTGGACACTGTCACACTGCCGTAGGTGGGGTGTGACAGGCTCGGCCATCTCCTGGGACCAGCCTGGCAGTGTCCCCCCTCCCCTGCAGTGCTGACATCGGGGTTCGGTCCTGGGCGCTCCTGCCTGGTCTCCTCGGGTCCAGGGTCTCCCTGACCCCACAGGATGGCAGCTGCTGCTGTGTGGGGCTGCGTCTGGCTTCCAGCACATTCTGTGGGAGGGGAGGACACCCCTGCAAGGGTTTGCTGCATTCGGCACCCCCACCAGCTCTGCACGAGGGCTCTGGTATCTCCACTACCTCATTTTTTTTTTTTTAATTGACCCGAACTTCACATTCCAGGTGTGGCCATGAGCGTCTGATCCTGGGGTTTACGGTCCTGCCATCCAGGCTGGAGGCGTTGGGCTCTCAGAGCCCCGGGCGAATGCCATGCGGGTGGCCTTGGTGCCCTGGCCTGGGGACGTCCCCACACCCGTGTTCTGGTGTCCGGGTGTGCCCGTTCCCGCCACGGAGCCAAAGATGGTGGCTCTGGAAGTTCCCTGGAGCTGGGCCGGGGGTCTGCCGGCCGGGTCTGAGGGAGCAAGCGCCCTGTCTTCCAGGTTTCTCTACTCGGATGAGGTTCAGATCGGACCCGAGACGGTCATGACCACGCTGTACACCGCCAAGAAGTACGCGGTGCCCGCGCTGGAGGCGCACTGCGTGGAGTTCCTGAAGAAGAACCTGCGGGCGGACAACGCGTTCATGCTGCTGACGCAGGTGCGTGTGGGGGGGGTGGTGGCGGGGCCAGGTGCCGGAGGGGACGCGCTTGCTGGGCAGAGGCGTGGAGGGCAGGGACCAGGTGAGGATGAAGGGGTGGGGAGACTGGGTGAGGACGGGGGGGCAGGGCCAGGCCGTGGGAACCCCAGACTACAGCGCCACCGATGCTCAGCGCAGGTGTGCTGCGGGGAGGGCGCTGGGCCTGGCCAGGACGTGGGTACAGGTGGGGGAGGCGGCAGAGTTTGGGGGGGCGCCAGGGACAGGTGAGGGCGCGGGTGGGCTGGGCGGAGGCGCAGGGTTGGGGGCCCGGTGGGGACAGAGGTGTGCGGGGACTTGGGACCAGGAGGAAGCTGTGTGGGGGAGGGGCGAGGCCAGCGAGCACCAGGTGCCTGCAGGTTGGGGGGGGCTAGGGTGAGGACCTGACATGGGGGTGGATCCCTGAATTTTGAGGTCCTTTAAATTTTGCTCCCCACCCCCACCCACCTGGTGCCCTTCTGTCTCCTTCGAGGCCGGGCGCCTGGCACTTGTTTGACTAAAGATTTCCACCTGCGTTTGTCCCTGTCCCGGGGGGGCCAGGTGTGTGTGGGGGGAGGCCTTTATCCTTATTAAGATTCTTTGAGAAGGTCCCTTTCAGGCCTGCAGCGCTGGTTGGGGTGGGGCTGGCCAGGCCCAGACGGGCAGCGGCAGATAGGGGGCTGCGGGGGGCGCCGTCTCCCTGGTGGGCCCTGCACCCCTCCCTGAGTTGCCGGGTCCGGCCGGCGCTGGGCCCGAGCGCAATGTGGGGCTCAGAGTTGCAGCCACACCGGCCCCAGGCTGTAGGCGGTTGTGCTGAGCAGAAGGGGCCGGAATCTTCTGGGCTCCTGGTTCCCCCACACCGTGAACAGGTTCCGGATGGCACAGTCTCCCGTGGTGGGAAGTGCACAGCCCCTGACCCCCAGGGGTGTGTCCCGTCTGTGGCCCCCACCCCCACCCCTGACACTGGGATACCAGTCAGGGCGGCAGCCAGGCCCGAGCCTCCCGCCCGGGCTGACTCGCTCCCTCCCTCCAGGCGCGGCTCTTCGATGAGCCACAGCTCGCCAGCCTGTGCCTGGAGAACATCGATAAGAACACGGCGGACGCCATCACCGCCGAGGGCTTCACGGACATCGACCTGGGTGAGAGCCGCGGGCCGGGGGCGGGGGGGACGGCTGGCGTCGCGGGGCGTCGGCACTGAGGCAGCCCCTCCCCGCAGACACGCTGGTGGCCGTGCTGGAGCGGGACACGCTGGGCATCCGCGAGGTGCGCCTCTTCAACGCCGTGGTGCGCTGGGCGGAGGCGGAGTGCCAGCGGCAGCAGCTGCAGGTGACGCCGGACAACAAGCGCAAGGTGCTGGGCAAGGCGCTCGCGCTCATCCGCTTCCCGCTCATGACCATCGAGGAGTTCGCCGCAGGTAACGGTCAGGTCGCGGGGGCCGCTCGGCGGGAGCCTGACCCCCGGGGCCCCCGGGTGTGACCCGCCCCGTGGGCGTGTCCCCGTGGGAGGACAGAAGGCCCCGTGGACGCTGCCCAACCTGGGTTCCCTTCCGTCCGCGGCTCGTGTCCGCATGCGCGTGTCTAGGCTGCCGAGGGCGTGGGTCCCGGGGGGGCCAGGCTCTGGCATCAGCGTCCTTGACGAGCCCGTGAGGGGTGGGAGGAGGCTGGGGGCGGGGCGGGGGCTCGGTCCAGGGGCCCGGGGCTGACGCGGGCCGTGCCTCCTGCCCCGTGTGGACACGGCTCCGGCTGCGGCGCCTGACCTGGGGCCGCTGCGCCCCTGCCCCGCTCGGGCTGCTCCGTGATGGGCTGGCAGGAGTGTCTTCCCTGTGCTCCCCGGGACAGATTTACCCCGCAGATCAGTCCTCTCTGACCTCAAGTTTGGATGTGACAGGGCCCCCTGCGTCGTGTTTATCCGCCATAGTGGTCTGTCTGTGGCGGGGTGAGGCTCTGTTCCGGGATCGCTCGTTCGTCGCTTAATGCGTCCCGCGGGCTGGGCTCTGGCAGTACAGTGGTGACCGTGGTGGCCTGGCCACTCGGGGACCGACAGGGGGCTGCTGCTGGGGCCAGAAGCACCCCAGTCAGGAGGGTCCCGGTGACCCTAGATGTGGCTCAGGGGCCAGGATGCCAGGCTGCCCTGTCCCGTCCTGAGACCCCTCCCTTGCCACCCAGGCGGGTGCCCACAGCCCTCCCCTGGAGGCCCCCAGCCTGCCCCCTCACCCCTGGGCGGGGCCCCCTCCTGTGTCCACCCCTCCACTGTGCGGCCCCTCCTGTGTCCACCCCTCCACTGTGCGGGGCCCCCGGGCTGCGGTAGCCCAGCCCCGGCCCCTGCTGTGCCCAAATCACGGGGAAGGACACGGTGTGTGTGTCCCCTGGGGTTGAGCCGGGTCCTCCGCCCTGTCTCTGTGCGGGGTGCCCCTCGTCACTCAGCATGTTCTAGAGAAGTACCCTGCTTCTCAGGTCCCCCGTGAAAATACAAGACTCAGAGGGAAGTCTGAACAAACCTCCTAAGTACGAAACCCCCCCCCCCCCTCGCTAAGTGTGCCTCAGGCGCGGCCTCCTGTAGACCTTTATGCGTTTTCTGTGCGGAGATTAAAATTCCCTGGCTAACGTCTGTCTCCCCCTTGTATCCTCCTTACTCCTGTAGAGATGCGGGGGGGGGGATGCGTCGCCATCCTGGGAGCCCCTGGCGGGGTCTGGGGAGCCCCCCCGCCCCACCTGTCCCCCTCTGCCCGGGGCTTCCTGGTCTGCTTCTACTTCCTGGACCTCCCTCTGGCTTGGGCCTGTGTGGGGAGTCACCCCCTGGCAGCAGGGGGCCCCACGCGCTCCATGGGCAACCTAGCGGGTGGGGTCGCCAGGGGAGGCCATGAATCAGACCCCATCCCACCCAGCATCTTCACTCTGGTGCCCTTGGAGGCTCCTGGCCGCCAGGTGGGCCCCCACCGCAGCCGCACCCCCACCCCCTGTGCCCGCAGGGCCCGCGCAGTCGGGCATCCTCGTGGACCGCGAGGTGGTCAGCCTCTTCCTGCACTTCACCGTCAACCCCAAGCCCCGGGTCGACTTCATCGACCGGCCCCGCTGCTGCCTCCGCGGGAAGGAGTGCAGTATCAACCGCTTCCAGCAGGTGGAGAGCCGCTGGGGCTACAGCGGCACCAGCGACCGCATCAGGTGGGCGGGGCGCGGCGGGAGGGGGGCGCCCCTGCACCTGCTCTCTCGGGACGCGCCCGTGGCTTAGCGCCCCCTGTGTCCACGGCTCAGGTTCTCGGTCAACAAGCGCATCTTCGTGGTTGGCTTTGGGCTGTACGGCTCCATCCACGGGCCCACCGACTACCAAGTGAACATCCAGGTGCCCGCCCCGCCCCTCCGCGCAGGTCCCAGCCCGACTCCCTGCGAGGCCGCCCCCTGCGGGGGTGGGGGCCCCTGGTGAGCAGCGCCGGCTCCTGCCCCCGCAGATCATCCACACGGACAGCAACACGGTCCTGGGCCAGAACGACACAGGCTTCAGCTGTGACGGTTCCGCCAGCACCTTCCGGGTCATGTTCAAGGAGCCGGTGGAGATGCTGCCCAACGTCAACTACACGGCCTGCGCCACGCTCAAGGTGAGCCCAGCCGCGACCAGTCCAGGACCTGCCCCCAGTGGCCGGAGCTACAGGGTGCGCCATCGCTGTGTGGGTGGGTGCCGCCCTGGGGAGGGGCCCTGCTGTCCCCCAAACCCCCTCCCCCCCCCGGGACCCCGGGTGCCTGACCACCGGGACACCATCCCCACTCAGGGCCCAGACTCCCACTACGGCACCAAGGGCCTGCGCAAGGTGACCCACGAGTCGCCCACGACGGGGGCCAAGACGTGCTTCACCTTCTGCTACGCGGCGGGAAACAACAACGGCACGTCCGTGGAGGACGGCCAGATCCCCGAGGTTATCTTCTACACCTAGGCCGCCCGGCCCCGAAGCCGCCTGACGCAAGTAGGCCGCCCCCGCCCCATACCGCGCCCCCTGCCACGTTTCTGGGCGTCAGGAGAGGGTCTTCACTCCTGCTCGGGGGAGCCGGGCAGGGGCTGTGGGACGGTCCCTCAGGACTTGGGGGGGCAGGGCTGGCCCGGACCCGCCCTTAGGCGTCGGGGTCCCGCACGCAGCCCCCCACTCCCGGAGCTCAGGGCTGCCTGACCAACTGCCTGACCACAGGATTCAAACAGGATTCCGTCTCACGTCTGTGTTAACCGCACATAGCAATGCATCTTGGGTCCCCATTTCGCTGGTAGGAGGCGGTGCGTGGGGGCACCACTAGTGCATTTGGTTGGGGCCTTGCGTTCTGGTCTAGTCACTGGGGATGCTTAGGCCGCCCCGGCCCCCAGCGCGCTGGCCTGAGCCCCCTCGAGGTCCGGCAGGCTGGCTTTCTGCCAGGCCCAGGCCTGCCCAGGGAAGGGCCCCTCTCGGCCCCCGACCCGATCTGCCTGCACGGGCAGTGCCCGGGGCCAGCCTCGGTGGCCCCGCCCCCTGTACATACCGAAGCCCCGCCCGCCTCTGTGTGAGGGCGGGGCCCCTTCCCGAAGTCCCCAGTACCTCGCCCACCGCGTGTTTCTTCCCTAGTGATCCCTTCTGGAAACTGTCCTCCCCGAAGCCATGAAAGGTGTGCCCTCCTCACACCAGACCCCCAGACGATTTTTTTAAATAAAGGAAAGAAACGAAACCGCCCTGACCGTGTGCTTCTTCCTGTCGGGGGTGCAGGACGGGACCCTGGCAGCTGTAAGATGTGGCTCTTCTCTCTGCAGCGTCTCTTCCCCGGTAAGACTGGGGGGGTGACTTCTGTCCGCATTTGGAGTCGCTGCTGACACAGACATCCCTCCCCATGTCCCTGGTGTCCAGCAGTGGGGCCTCTGAGGAAGCCCTGGCTGCAGCGACCCCCCCCCACACCTCGTTGGCTCTGCCCTCTGGGCTGTGCCCCACGTGTTGGGGGGGGTCCCAAGAAAAGGTAGAGTGGGAACAGCATGGTAGCCAAGAATTTTCCAAAATAAATAAAGGCATCAGTTCACATACTGAAAAAAAAATAAAAATCCATATATATGCAAACTGCTAAAAAACCAAAGGAAAAATAATCTTAAAAACAGCTAGAAGAAAGAACTACCAAACTAGAAATCTGTGTCCTTCAAAAATGAAAGTAAGGACAGAGTCCAAAAAAACGAACAGCAAGATGCAGGAGACCAAAACATCAGTTACGCTAAACGTATGCAGATCTCAACACTTGGATTGAAAGATTAAGACTGTCAGACTGGATGCGACACCAAAACCTACTTCCTGATGCAGGAGTCTCACTTTAACTACAAAGAGAGAGAAAGTGAGGCTGAAAGATGGGAAAAGTTGCCCGGGGCCAACACCAGCCGTGCCCTCATCAGTATCAGACAGGCTTGAGGCGGTGAGCGTGCCAGTCATCTGAAGGACATCTCACAGGGACGAGTGGGTCAGTCCCACAGGAAGAGCTGCCCTGAGTCTCGGCACCACAAGGCCATTAGATGCAGTTGAGAGTTGGCAGAACGAAAATGAGAAATCTGGAACCCTAGTTGGAAATGGGCACCGTCACACACATCTAAGAACAAAAATCAAGAAGGATCTTTAATATTTGAACAGACTTTAATCAGTATCTAGAGAATGCTACACCCAACTCTGATGACAGTGGAATCAAACATACACACTTTTACATAAACATGGGCTAAAAACAAATATGTAAATTAAATACTTTGAACTGAATGATTATAATACACCAAAATTTCAGGATCCTGCTAAAGCACACTTGGTACATATTAGAAAAGAAAAAATGTTTAAAACCAGAGGTCTAAGTTTTTTCATCTTAAGCAAGAGAAAATTAACAGCAAATCTGACCCCCAAAACGGGGAATAAAATAGACCAAAAATGAAGCTGAAGACAAATGAAATACAAAACTATTAGCTGGTTCCTTGATGAAATCATCAGCAAAAAAAATGTATTTTTTAAAGAGCAAAAACACAAAAGCGGTAAGACCGAAAAGGGGACAGCACCACAGACCCTACAGACGGGGGGAAGCCAGTAAGAGAGTGGTTTCTGGGTAGAACACAGACCATCACAGCAGACACTGTAAACTCGTTAAACAAAGAAGACAGAGGCGTTCGGGGGGCTCAGTCGGTTGAGTGTCTGACTTGATTTCAGCTAAGCTCACAATCTCAATTTATGTGATTGAGCCCCATGTCGGGCTCTGTGCTGACAGTGCGGAGCCTGCTTGGGATTCTCTCTCTGCCCCTCCCCTGCTTGCACTCTCTCTCAAAAACAAACAAACAAACAGAAACAACCCAAGATGCACTACAGGAATCACACACAGGTACAGCCACTGAAAAGTCTTAGAGGTGCCCCCAAGAATTTCAAATGGAAACACATAATGCAGGGGTGGCTGGGTTAAGCGTCTGACTCTTGGTTTTGGCTCAGGTCATGATCTCACGGTTTCATGGGTTCAAGTCCCTCATCAGACTCTGTGCTGCCAGTGTGGAGCCCGCTTGGGATCCTCTCTCTCTCTCTCTCTCTCTCTCTCTCTCTCTGCCTCCCCTGCTTACGCTGTCTCTGGATCTCTCAAAATAAACTTTTTTAAATAATTTTTTAAACATTTTATTTTTGAGAGAGAGACAGCGTGAGCAGGGGAGGGGCAGGGAGAGAGGGAGACACAGAATCTGAAGCAGCTCCAGGCTCTGAGCTGCCAGCACAGAGCCCGACGCAGGGCTGGAACCCACAAACCATGAGATCGTGACCTGAGCTAAAGTTGGATGCTCAACCGACTGAGCCACCCAGGTGCCCCATAAATAAACTTTAAAAACTAACAACAACAACAACAACAACAACAACAACAAAAATATATATATGTAATGCAGCAATTCCACCTCTGGGTGCAAAGGAACTGGCATCCATGTCCCAAACATCTGCACTCCCCTGTTCAGTGCGGTCCTATTGACATGAACCCAAATGTCACAGATGAATGAAGAAAACATGTAGTGTGTATCATTCAGCCGCCTTAAAAAAAAAAATCTTAACATTATTGAGACACAGAGAGCACGAGCAGGGGAGGGGCAGAGAGAAGGGGAGACACAGAATCTGAAGCAGCTCTAGGCTCTGAGCTGTCAGTGCAGAGCCCGACGTGGGGCTCGAACCCACGAACCGTGAGATCATGGCCTGAGCCGAAGTTGGACGCCCAACTGACTGAGCCACCCAGGCGCCCCATCAGCCTTTTTTTTTTTTTCTTTTTTTAAAGAAAAGCCCTGCCATTTGCAACACATGCATGACTGGGTGCCCGGAGAGATGGATGCCGTATGGCTTCTCCCACATGGAATCGAAGACTGAATCTGAACTCACGGAAGCAGAGAGCAGGGTGGCGGCCAGGGTGGAGGAGACGGACAGGTGCCAGTCGCGGGGAGTGGGTTTCAGTTATAAGGTCTGCACGTTCTGGGGGCACGACGGACAGCCTGGGGGCCACAGCGCTGTCCCGTGTACCTGAGGGCTAGTGGGGCGGACCTGTGTTCTCACCGCGCGCACACGCGCTCAGGTCTGTGGTGACGGAGGCGTTCGCTACCCTGAGGGCTAAGCCGGCGCTGCTGCATGCTGTATGCGAGCCTCAGACCACTATGAAAACCACAAACTTAAAAAAAAGATGTAAAAGATATTTAACTGTAAACGCATCACAAGGGCGCGGATGCCATGGAGAGAAGCTAGGTTCTCAGGGGAGGAGCCACGGCCGGGTGCGCAGGGGCCCGAGGGGCCCGAAGCGCTCGCTGGGCGGGCTGTGCTCTGACGACGGGAAGCCGGCTGGGCCAATGCCCGTGGGGACGGCACGAAGACCCGGAACCTTGGGGGGGGGGCCTCAAAAACCGGCAGGTCTTCCCCTGTGGCGTTTTGCTTAGTGCTTGGCTGCTGATGCAGGGTTGGGGGTGGGGAGGCACGGTGAGATCCGAGGTCTCCCCATGCCTGGAAATCAGAGCCCCTGCTACAACTCGGGGCCGACAGCAGAAACGAGGCAGCCCAGGGGGCGTCTGGGGCCGTAGTCGGCTCAGTGCCCGACTCAGTTTGGGCTCAGGTCGTGATCTCACGCATCAGGCTCGGCACCGACCGTGCGGAGCCTGCTTGGGACGCTCTCCCCCGTCCCTGCTCGCGTGTGCGCTCTCTCTCAGAAGCAAACGTTACACAACTCCGCCCCCAAACAAGGCAGCTCAAGACGTGAACAAAGTTCAAGACGTGTGAGCAGATGCCACGTGGAAATCCAGCCTCACGGGTGGCCCGGCCCCCTCGTCCAGCCAGTAGGGGAAGGGGCAAGGTCATCCCGCACACGGGACACTGAGGGCACCCGTCCCCATCCCGCTCACGCGACGCCGGGGGCACCAACAGTTGTGAGACGCACGGAGGAGGAAGATGTAACCTGTAACTGAGAGGACAAAAGCAGCCACGAGAAGCGTCGTGCGGGGACCCGTGGACCTGGCACAGGAACGGCGGGGCCGAGCCGTGAAGAGACGGCAGACTTAACAAGCTACAGACTCAAGTGGAGCCTCCGGAACTACGCATACGGGGGAGACTGGACTGGAGAGCCTGAAAGCACACGGGGCAGAACGGAAAAGACGACTCGTAAACCCAAGACGCGTCGGGACTGGCCAAACCGAAGCACAAAGGGGAAAACAGAAACCGCAAAACGGGGCCACCTGGGGGCTCGGTTGGTTGAGCGTCCGACTTCGGCTCAGGCCATGATCTCACAGCTCGTGAGTTCCAGCCCCGCGTCGGGCTCTGTGCTGACTGCCAGCTCAGAGACTGGAGCCTGTTTCAGAGTCTGTGACTCCCTCTTTCTCTGACCCTCCCCTGCTCACGCTGTCTCTCTGTCTCTCTCCTAGAAATAAATAAAAATATTTAAAAAAAAACAAAACAAATGCTAAACAATTTTTTAAAAAGGAAAGGAAAACCACAAAATAAAACCAAGTCCTCAGAGTGTCGGAGCCCCTCGGGTGGGATACGTCGGTCCTACGCAGAGATCTCGAGTCCCGGGGGAGAGAGAAGCTGCGGAAGAACGTGCCTGATGAGAACATCGCCCAGAACTGACGAAGGACACAGCCCACAGATCTAGGGGCGCAGCAAGCGCCCTGCACGATGAATCCGGAGACAACCACACATCACAGCCAAGTAACTTCCACACGTGGTCTACAGGCAGACAGAAAGGTCACAACTTTCAAGGGAACGACGATGGCAACTCACCTGGCATCAGCAACCACCCAACGAGGCCTTATTTAAAATGCTGGAAGCTGACGAGGGGCGCCCGGGTGGCTGGGTCACTTCAGCTCCCACTCTTGATTTCGGCTCAGGTCATGATCTTGCATTTCGTGGGTTGGAGCCCCATGCCGGGCTCGGTGCCGACAGCACGGAGCCTGCCTGGAATCCTCTCTCCCTCTCTCTCTGCCCCACCCCTGCTCACACTCGCTCTCTCAAAATAAACTTAAAAAAAATTTTTTTAGATGTGCTAGAAAGCCAAAAGAAATCCCCCCCCCAAAACGAATGCACCTGCCAACCTAAAACCCCACCCCCAGCAGAACTCCCACCGTCAGTGCAGGCAAAATAGAGAGATTTTCAGGCAATCATAAACCGTGGGGCTTCGCTGCCCAAAATACCCACACAACAAAAAATATTAAAGACTGCTCTTTAGGCTGAAAAAAGAGGCCCCCAGATGGCATCTCCAGTGGGAAGGATGGAGAGCACTGCGGAGTCAGTGCATGCACACACGTGTCTACGTAACGCGTGTATGTGAAAGCGTGTTCAATAATTACATAGTACAAGTGTGACGACGGGGAGCTGTGGGCTTATAACGTTCATCAGAAATAAACCAGACGGCAAGAACAGCACAAAAAGTGGGGTCGTGGAAACAGGAAGTACGCGTGCCAACACGTACCCGCACGTCTATTTTTGCGTTTACCCGTCTGCCTGCACGGGCGCAGTCTGAGCTGAGCCCTCTGGCTCTACCCGGACCCCACGGGGTCACTCCAGTCTCGTTGTGGCTCCTGAGCTTACAGTTTTTATCTGTGCCGCTTTCTCTCCGCCTCGGGTGTACGTGCGGCCGCAGCCCACCACCCCCGGCCAGCCTGCCCAGGGCTGCCTGCTACCTGGGTGCCTCGCACCGTGTGTCGGTTTGGAAAGTTGCCGAATCGTCTTGCCCTGGCGAAGTACTCTGTCTCCCTGCCTGCAGGCCCCAAGGACCATCGTCATCTTTAAAGCAGTCGTTTTACGAGGTGATGCCGCAGAGGTGGCTGTCCTGTGCGCTTCCATACGGCCCGTCCAGTGTGGAGCTTCAGGGTTTTTCCTCTCTGTTCCCTCCAACAGCGGTTTTAAACACTAGCTGCGATCTGCGTCTCCCACGGCTCTGCTGGCGGGGCGTTCCTCGGTGGCCGGGGTCCCGCCACCTCTGCCTTCCTCCTAACGTGTGGCTGCTGCAGCTTCATTTCCCTTCATTTCCTCCTTCTCCTGCTTCCCCTGCCCGTCCGCAGATCTCTCTCGGGGGCCCGGGCACCCTGCACTTCACTCCTCATTTCCAGAGTCCTTTCCTTCCTGAATTCAAGCTGTTTCCGCTGCCAGTTTTTGCCCATTTCTGATCTGAGATGATTTCCACAAATTTCTTCAACGACTATTAGGAGCGATCCTTGCCATCTTCTTCAGCTTTGACGTTCCCTACCTACCTGGGGAGGCTGGCTTCCCCTGGTCACACTCCCCACTCTGTAGTGTGAGGACCACGTTCTGGTTCTGAGAGTTCACTCCCTGTGCTTCTGGCCGCTTCACTCTTTGACCCTTGAACAAGGGCACTAATCCCACTGGGGGGTCCCACCCTCATGACCTCACCTGACCCTCATCACCCCACAAAAGCCCCATCCCTAACGCTGTCCCATCCCACCGGGATTAGGTGTCAGTGTGTGAATGTGGACACATTCAGTCCACAGCAGCCACCAAGCAGATGACGCCCCCGCCGTGCTCCATTCAAGGCAACTTGTGAGGCTGTCCTGGGGCTTCCCCGCCTGGCTGCTGGGTGCCCTGGAGACCCAACCAGACGCAGCTGCCCTTCCCCTTTTCTCCTAGAAAAACAAACTGTTCTGTTAGGGTTTCAAATGCATCAGTGTGGAGCCAGAGCCAAGGTGACCGGTCCTTTACTCATCTGAGTTACCAGCTGTGCCACAGCCCCTGCACAAAAGCAAACCCGGCTGAACACAGACGGGGGCTCGCAGCTCCTACTCTGACCACGCCTTTCTCCTGAGCAAGAGGGGTGCCACTCCTAGCCAGTCCCCTCCTGGGGAAGGAGCAGCTGCTGCTTTCAGCCAAGTCCCCTGAAACACGGGACACCACACTCGGGAGTGCTTTCATTTTCCTTTATTTTTTTAAAAAAGCCCCTAAATTCTATGGCTTCCAGGAAGCATCAGAGAAACCGAAGCGCCGTTTCTGTACACCGTGTAAAGCAAGACCTAGACCCACACGCCGCCGCCAGGCCGTCCCCGCTGCTCTCTGCCCACCCCCCCCCCAGGGACCCACGAGAACCGCACCACCGCTGGGGGCTGCCCGGCCCTGAACGCACCCACACGGCTGGGCCGGGGCTTTAAGGCGCTTGTCTCCCGCTGCTCGGCCGGCGGCACGGAGCGCAGACGCGAGGACGCAAGGGGCCCTTGCACACCCGGGCACAGGCCGCGGTCCGAGCGCCAAGCAGGGGGCCGCCCCCGGGCTCCAGGCCCCAGACGCGGCTCTGAGAGCAGGCGCAGCAGGAAACGCCGCGGGGCTGTGCCCGCCGGCCCAGGCTTTGGTGCAGCATTTTGGTTGGGGGGCCGCCCCCGCCCTGCCTTCCCCTGCGGTGCAGGGAGGCCCTGGCAGCAACGCCCACAGCGCCCCCTCGAGAAAACGGCCTTTGGATCGAGGGAGACAAGCCGGACTTTATGAGACTAACAGGGCGGGCGGCCGACTACTCACTCCGGCGGCGGGAGGGCGCGGGGCGGCCGCTGTCTCTCTTTTCCTTGTTTCAAATAGTTAATGCTCTCGGAGGGGAGGACGAGACGCAGGTGTAGAAATTTTGGCCAAAGTCTCGTGTGAAAGAAGTGACCCCACGTGGGGTGGGGGGCGGCCGGCTGTGGCCGGCCCCACAGTCTGCGTCCGGGCTGTGGGCCACACAGCCAGGACGAGCTGGTCCCAGGGGCCACGGCGGGAGGATTCAGGGCACCACTGCCCAGGGTCACTTGTGTCGCTGCACCGATTTTCTCTTTCTCCTCTTGAAGAAACAGCAGCACCTGGATGGGTGGACAGGTTGGTGGGAGGGGGGAATGAGCGAGGGGGAGGGAGTGGAGGTGGCCCAAGGGCCCCACCCCCAGCGGCTGGGCGGGGGACTTACTTGGTGTCATCGACCACCTCCACCTCCGCGGGTGCCGTGATGGGGGCGTTGGAATGACCGGCAGTGGGGTCGTCCGTGTTCAGCTCCCCATTAGTGGAGTTCAGAGCCTAGGATGGGGGGTGGGGTACAGCAGGAGTCAGCTGGCCCTGCCTCACCCCCACATCGTTGGGATCCTTGCCCCCGCCCCTCACCTGGTTTTTGCTGTGTAGCTGGGCTTTGTCCCGAGGCTGAGGCTGCGAGGGCAGGTCGGTGTGGACCGTGCCGATGGGTGTCGGCTGCAGGGGGGCAGGACGCAGCTCTGAGGCCAGGCGGCCTCTCCCCACCCCCCACGAACCTGGGGCCCCGCCCACTTCAGGAACTGGGACCTGCACGTACCAGGGGCTTCCCCGCCCAGTCGTACTCATAGTCGAACACGAAGCCGCTGCGGTCGAAGAGATCTGTGAAGAGCTTGCGCAGATAGTCGTAGTCAGGCTTCTCGAAGAAGTCTAGGCGCCGCACGTAGCGCAGGTATGTGGCCATCTCCTCTGTGGAGAGCCAGCGGGGGGTGTGGGGGTTGGGGGTGTCAGCTGGGTGGTGGGTGGTGCAGCGGGGGGGGGGGGGGGGGGGGGCGCGGGGGACTGGGACCGGGCGCCCCTCACCTGGGAAGCTCTCGCAGAGCACCTCGATGGGTGTGGCCCGCTTGGTGTCCCCGATCTTCTGGTAGCGCTCCTTGAGCGTGTCAGCCTGCGGGGACAGCAGTCAGCAGACGCCCACCCGAAGGCGCCCCGAGCCCGTGCCTCCGGCCCCGTGCCCACCTTGAGGCCCTGCCAGGGCAGGCTGCCACGCAGGAAATACATGAACATGTGGCCCAGCGCCTCCAGGTCGTCGCGGCGGCTCTGCTCTGTGGGGGGGGCGAGGGGGGGGACGAGCAGGTCAGTGTGGCCCGCGCCCCCCTCCCCCCGCCCGGCCCGCGCACGGCTCACCCTTGCCCAGGTGCGTGTTGATGCTCATGTAGCGCGCCGTGCCCGTCAGGCTCTTGTGCTCGCGGTAGGGGATGTGCTTCTTGGTCTCGGGGTCGATGTACTCCTTGGCCAGGCCGAAGTCGATGATGTGGATGGCGTGCTGCCGCTTGGTGCCCGGGCGCCCCACCAGGAAGTTCTCGGGCTTCACGTCGCGGTAGATGAGGCTCTTGGTGTGGACGTACTCCATGCGTGTGATCTGGGGGGCGTCGGGCCTCAGCGCCGGGCCTCGCCCCAACCCCCCCCCCGACCCCGGGGTGGCCCTACGCCCGTCGTCCCCCCCCCGCAGCGCCCCCACCTGTCTCCCCCCTCCCCGCCCCGGTGCCCCCACCCGTCTGTCCCCAGCTCCCCCCCCAGCGCCCCCACGCCCACACCAGCTGGATGGCGATCATGAGCACCGTCTTGAGCGTGAATGTGCGGTCACACAGGTCAAACAGGTCCTCGAGGCTAGGCCCCAGCAGCTCCAGCACCATGGCGTTGTACTTCCCGCACGGGCCGAAGTAGTAGACCTGAGGGACGCCCTCTGCAGGGGAGGGTACCCAGACTCGTGAGGACCCTGCTGCGAGGCACCTCCCCACCCCACCCCTGCACTGTGCGGCCGGGTACCTGTGGCGCTGAGCTGCTTGTAGAAGCGGTACTCCAGGTGCAGCTGAGGGGCCCGGGACTTGATGGGCTCCTGGGAAGGGCGGGTAGACATGGTCAGGTCACCCAAGGTGTGCGCCTGCCCCTCCCCCCGAGACCCGGCAAGCAGGGTACAGGGAGGGGCTGGGGCCCAGCTGGGAGGCGGGAGCGAGGGCCTGGACTCACCAGTTTAATAGCTACGTATTCATTTGTATAGAGATTCTTCCCTGCGGAAGAGAGGCTTGTCAGCCGCACGACCCCCCATCCCTGCAGGGAGGAGGCCCCCACCCCTCCAGGGACCAAGCTCCCCCCCCACCTGACCACTCCTAGGAGTAAGAAGAACGCCTACGAGACCCGACCCCACTGTGGGGGTGCTCATGTGCCCACCCCCTCATCCTGCAGCCCCCCCTGCCAGCCAGCCCTCTGTCCCCCTCCAACCCCCGCCCCGCCCACTCAAGGAGGGCTGCCCAACTCCTCTCTATGGCATCCTTCCTGACAGCACACCAGCTCGCTCCAATTTCTCCCATCTACAAAAACAAAAAGAGAACAGAGCCATGGTGATCCCGGGGGCCCCCCTCAGCTCCCACCGCTGAGAACCAGGAGGCGTCCGTGCCTTGGCCCCCCCTCCAGGCCACCTGACCAGCACCCAACCCTCCTGGCTCCCCCTCCCCCCCCACTGCGGAGCAAGGCCCCTGGCAAGAAGCCCCACGAGGAGGCTGGTCCTGGCCACGTCCTGAAAGGGCCTCACCCAAGGTGCTCCACACCCTCCTCCTGGCCATCAGCACGGGGAGCTCCCTGCCCAGGCCCCTGGCCCGTGCCTGTGCTCCAGTGACACCCTGCCCGGCGGCACCCGGGAGGCGGAGTCCCTGGGTGGCTTCCCGGGGCAACGGAGTTCATCAGGCCTGGGGCTGGGACCGTGTGCTTCCCGGGTTGCAGACACAGAGCTGGGGCACACGGCCGGCCCAAGCCCATCACTAGCCCCCAGGACCCCCGGGAGCCCAAGCTCACAGAGCTGTCAGAACTAGAGCCCACGACGCCCGCGGTACACCAGACCGACCTTCTGGCAGCTCGGGGCTCCCGTGAAGGGTCCGGCCTCCCTGTGTGCAGACACCTGGCACCCACCTGCTGTGTGACAGAGGGGCCACCCCCAGCCCTGGCGGGCGTTACCATGCACAGCGACGTGTGTACCCGCGCCCCTCCCTGCACTGTCCTGACCACGCCCTCGGGCTGGCCTCCCCGGGCCCTGAAGTCCACAAACACGGCCCCACACGGTACCCCTGCTCCACCACCGTCTGTCCCACTATCCCGAGTAGGACCCTTCCAGGCCTCGGCTTCCTCGGTCCCGGTGCACAGTCTGGGCGACACCGCCCCCACGTGGTGGGAGGCAAGGCTGAGCGCGGCCTCACAGGGCACAGCCGGGGCTCCCCACGCCTGTCAGTCCACTGCACCAGTCACTGCCCCACCCCGGGTGCTCGGAGGGGTCTGTGCCGCCCCGGCGCCCAGCGTGGGGGTGTCTGGCTCTGTGTCGGCTGCTCTAGGGCCTGTATTCCAAGTGGCCGTTTCAGAGTCGGCCCATCAGTGTCCCCAGAAGGCTGCAGAGACGTCATCTCAGGCCTGCGGGAGAGGCGGAGGGGGGGACATCCTAGCACCAGGCCCCCCTAGCCACGACTCGGGGATTAACTCCTCTCACTGATGTTTCCGGTTCCCGGCGGAGGGAGCGCTTGCACATCCTTCATGACATTGACTCCAGAGGCCCTGGGCTGGTTTGGGCACACACACAAACGGTGTTGTTTTTAAATTTTTATTTTCCAACTCTTTGTTGCTCGAACAGAAAACTTCACTTCTAACTGGTTCCTGAGAGGTCGCCGCGGCGGCCACGTGTGCGGCATCGTGCTGGGTGGGCTCGGCCCCAGCCCACTTCCCCAGCCGGTTTTTCCGCCTCTCCCGCTTCCTGCCACGGTCTGGAGGGGTGGGCAGAGGAGCCCGTCTTCCCGCAGGCCTCAGTCCCCTTGGCTCGACAACTAAGAGGCTCTCCATGGACTCTCCTCAGCAGGGAAAGAACGTTCCCTTCAAGCTCTGTTCTCTGGGTTTTGATAAAAAATAGGTTTTGCCTCTTGTGTTATGAAAGTTTCAAACCAAAAAACAAAGCAAAACTGGTGCAGAAAAGGCCCACAGCCTCGCCGCCTACAGATACCAGCGACCTGGTCTCAGTCCCACCGCGTACCTGCACACCTGTCACCCACTGACCTTTTCTTGTTTGTTTTTGAGACAGAGCGAGAGCGCGAGTGGGGAAGGGGCCGAGGGGGAGGGAGGAGGAATCTCAAGCAGGCTCCATGCTCAGCGCAGACCCCGACGTGGGCTGGATCCCATGACCCTGGGACCCGAGCCGAAATCAAGGGTCGGGCACTCAACCCACTGAGCCACCCAGGTGCTGCTGGATCTCCCTTATTTTTAGTTTAAAAAAAAAAAAAGGGGGCGCCTGGGTGGCTTAGTCGGTTAAGCGTCCGACTTTCGCTTAGGTCATGATCTCGCGGTTCGTGGGTTCGAGCCCCGCGTCAGGCTCTGTGCTGACTGCCAGCTCAGAGCCTGGAGCCTGTTTCAGTCTGTGACTCCCTCTCTCTCTGACCCTCCCCTGCTCACGCTGTCTCTCTCTGTCTCCTAGAAATAAATAAAACATTAAAAAAAAAAAATTTAAAAAAAAAAAAAAAGGCAGCATTTCTAAGGCACAAACGCCAGGAGGCTGTCCCTTCGACATCCCAGCCGGTTGGGGCCGTGGGTCAAGCTCAGGTGCGCTCGGTGCTCCTCCCAGGAGACACGTGACGCACACACCGTCCGTGTGGCGGACGCAGGGCCTGGCGGATGAGGAATCCTGGACAATGCCAGCCCTGCATCAGGACGGAAAGCGTGGCCACCAGGCATGGCCCTGCACGGTCACTCTCCACTTTCACGTCCCGAGAGGCAGCCGTTAGGTAGCATGGTCTGGCACGTTCTCTCCTTCCTGGATCCTCCCAAACCCACACGGTAGCAGGTCCCTCACTGGGGACAGGGCCCGGCTTACCCGGTCACCCTGGGGGTCAGCCACCGGTTCCCAGTCCTCCTCCAGGCACGGCCGATGTGACCGGCGCCACACGGGACCTCCCGTGGGCGGGCCAGCTCCCTTGCTGTCGGTGGCAGCCACACGGACGGGCGCTCCCACAGGGAAGGCCTCCCGAGCTCCCTGGCTGTCCGGCTGTCTGCTTTCGTGAAGTGTCCATTCACGTCTCTTGCCCACTTTTAAGTAATCTCTACAGCTCACGGTGGGGTGCAAACTCACGACCCCAAGGTCAAGAGCCACGTGCTTCTCCGACTGAGCCCGCCAGGCACCTCTCTCGCCTGTGTTTAATCGGAGCGTCTGTATCCCAGGTGCCGTGGCCTTGAAACAGTGCACTGCCGGCTGTGCCCCGCCCGTGGCCACCCGGCCTCGCTCATACCCACGTTTTCTTGTGAGCACACGGTCTACTGATCCTTTACGGTAACAGCGAACGCCACTGCGCCCTGTCGAAGAAACCTTTATGTTCTGACTGCGCACATGAGTTCAGGAAGAGCCAATCTCCCGGAGTCCGGCCTGAGGTAAGGGCGAGAGTGCGTGCGTGCGTGCGTGCGTGTGCGCATTGTGTCCGCACGTGTGGGGCCGTGCAGGCCGCAGGAGGGCTTTGGGCACTCGGGGCTCTGGGAGCCTCACCAACGTGAGCAGCCTCCCTGGATGCACAGAGGCCGGAGGCTGGACAGGAGGAAGGTTCTGGGCCCACACAGGGCCAGAGCCACGGCCATCCAGCGCACGGAGGCTGCCCTGACCTCCCGACATGTGGCCGAGAACCCAGGACTCACCTTGGGACTGGGCGGCTCCAGCCTTTGAGTAAGGCCTGCCCTCAGCGCCCCCAGCGGAGCCGGAAGCGGGCCTCGCGCCACCGAGAGGCTCTCCAGGACGTGGCGGAACCCAGGCCGCGGCCACACGGGCTGCCACTAACGTGCCGTGCGTGGCAAGCCAGGCGGCCACAAGGAAACACAGTCAAAGGCGCCGGAGAGCTGGCCCGTGAGACAGCTGCAAGCAGACGTGAGGGTCTAACAGCAAACGGCCCAGCGGAAAGGAGATCCTGAGAGGGAGCGGTGGGGGCGAGCGGTGACCGACGCCACGGAGAAGGGAAGTCGTCACCGGAGCGGCCCCACCAGCGGCACAAAGAAGGGGGAGCTCACCCGGGAAGCAGAGGGAGCCAGACTGAGGCGGAGAGAAAAGCCGCCAAGAGCAGCCGGAGAGCAGCGCGCAGCGCCTGCAGACGCTCCAAACATTCAACACACGGGCAGCTGGAGTCTGATGACGCGAAGGGACGGAGATGGAGGCACAGAAAATCCGGAGTAACGCCTGGTTTTTCGACGAACCGAGGGAGTCTTCCGCACACCCGGCAGCTCCGTGAGGCCCCATCAGGATTAGCACAAAGAAAACCACCCCAAACGGCGCGGACCAAACTCGGACACAACGATGAAGAGGAGCTCGTCCGGGAGAACGCGGCCGCCAGCCCCGGGAGGCGCCGCCAAAAGCCCCTCACGCCCCCGCGCGCGTTCAGAGCGGAAGAGCCTGACGCCCCGGACGCTGGCGAGGCGGGGGCACCCCGGGCCCTCACAGGCAGCCCGCAGCTGAGAAACGTCACCATCGCTTTGGAACCGAGTCTGGCAGTTTCTCATCGACACCCCCCCAACCTGGCGCTTCGGCAGACCCTTGTGCGCGAGACCTGGAGAGGCCACTGGGGCCCGTTTCAGTCACCACACCCGGCTGAGTGTCCCTGAGCAGGACGACAGATGTGGACAGTGAGGTGCAGCCACGCAGACGGACAGGGTACAGAGCAACCGGCCCCCCCACACCCAACCATGGGGACACGCGCAGAACCACGCTGGGCAGAAGCCGGGCCGAAAAGAACACGTACCTCAGTTTTAGAAAACGTTTTAAGGTACCAGCCGCTGCAGCTGCGGCCCAGCACTCGCGCTGTCCGCGCAGACCCCTGCGGTAGAGGCTGCGGTCCGGACGCCCAGCTGCAGGCGGGGACCCGGCCTGCCATGTGCCGGTCTGGCTGTGCGAACGTGTGTGGGGCAGGGGTGTGTCAGGGCGGCTCCGTGTGCCATGAGCTGCGGACTGGTCGCCGGGCCGGGCACGGCTGGTCCCGTGTGCTGGGGAAGGTCAGTTACCGAGACAGACGCACCCGCTGTGGGAGCCGGGCACCTGGCCGTCCTCCAACCCGCACACGGAGACGGGACGCCGGCCTGGGGCTTCCAGAAGCCACACACAGGCAGTGAGACTCCAGGGCCCAAGCCCAATCGTGGCAGCCTCTGCAGCGGCTGCGGTATGGCTCCGGCTCAGGACGGGGATGTCAACCCCGCCCCGCGGGGCCACCAGTGACACCGGCCCCGGCTCTGCCTGCGGTTCCCGAGCTCTCATTTCACCTCGTACCCACACCCACCAGCTAGAAACAAACGGCTGTGCGTGGGTCCCCCCGATAAGGGGCCTCAGATTCCCCCCAGAAGCGACCCTCAGCAACGCCAGGGGGAGGCCGGGTACCCGCCCCTCTGGCACTGCCACCTCCTTTAGGAGCAGAAACTCACACGTACCTGAATCCCCAGTCCCGACAGTCTGGAAGCCATCTGTGAGCAGTGGCCGGGGTCCCGAGGGGTGGCCGTCCCTCCCCCAAACCCCAGAACACACACGAGTGGGCTCACCTAGCCGGAGCTCCCCGAAGTTGCCACAGCCTATCTTCTTCCCGACCCGGAAGTTGGGGCCCACCATCAGGACCCCCGAGCTGGTCCCCGAGCTCCGGACGCCGTGGCTGGTCCGGCCGCCGGCCTTGGACATTCTCCGACCCTCCTCCGACTCCCCTTTCCCTCCTTTCTTGTCAAAATCCATAAGTTTGTGGTACCCTGGCCTCTCCACGGTGACTCTGCTGCCGAGCAAGTCCCGGGTCTGTGCAGACCTGAGGTTGCGGGCGGCGCTTCGGGGCTAGTACACCATGGTGGCCCGGCGGGCTCCCCGCTAGTGAGACGTGGCCGCTTGCCAGGGCCCGGCCGTGGCGCTCATCTCGGTGGCCTCGGGGTCGCATGCAGGGGGAGGGCACATTCTGCTGACTGGTCCCGCCGCCTCAAATCTTGTGGCTCCCGGCTGGCAGAGAAAGAAAGGCACAGGTTAGGCCAGATCTGACCTCCCCCCACACCTCCCCGTCCCCGAAGCAGCCCCAGGGTCCAGAGCCCAGACCGGCAGGGACGCCCAGGAGGGCAGTGTCAGCTGAGGGCCACACCACCAAGGCTTGTGCAGCGCAGCGGCGTCCTGGAAAGGTCTCTCAGGGCACGGATGTGACCCAGGGCCTTCAGGGGGGCACAGGGGCGGAGTGACTCGGGCCGCTGCGCATTGCACATGTCCGGTCGCGTGACCCCCGCCCCACAGCTCAAGCACAATTCTGCTGGCAGAGGTGACGGCCAATCAAGTGACAGAGGCCCTAGAGCCCTGAAACCAGATGTGGAACCCAAGGCTGGGTGCAGGGAGGGGTGGGCCCTCTCCCCAAGCTGAGGGTCTGCTCTCAGTAAAAAGAGATGGCAGAGCACATGTGCCCGAGGTCGGGAGACAGGCCCTCACCACTGACCTAGAGGCCTCTGAACTGATCCCCCCCTCCACTGAACCACCCCCATGATGTCCCCGGGACTAGTTCCAGGAGCCTGTGGCTCTGCGGTCACCTGGGGTGAGACCAGCCTCAGCCCCTTGGGTATGAAGCTGGCATCGCGGAGGGCAGGGCAGGCACTGAGCAGCCCCCAGGATGTAGGCGGCAGGCGGCAGTCACCCACGCTGGGTGGGGTGAGGGGCAGGCGCGCGCACACACACACACATTTGTGTCCCCAGGCCCAGCCCTCCCCAAACCCGCCCCAGTCCTGTAGGCTGTGGTTGGCGCCAACCGGGCCCCTCGGGCACGCCTGCTCCATCAGCCCCTGCCGGCGGCTCCCCCCGAAGCTGAGGGCTCCCCTCAAGAACCACCAGCGCGCTCCTGTGAGCACCCCCACCAAACACGCCCCCCCTCAGATAGGAGTGCAGTGCCAGGGGCCACAAGCCAGCTCACACCCGACCCTGCCTCACAGGCACTGGACGCCTTCCCACATCCCGCTAGGCCGTGCACCTGACCATCCATGGGTGATCGCTGTGGCCCAAGCGGCAGCAGACAGGGCAGCGTGGCGCCGCAGGGCTCAGCACGGGCAGCGACAGGCAGCTGCCTCACCGAGGGAACAACACTAACTCTGAGGCTGGGGGGGTGGGGTGGGTGACAGCTCGCAGAAGCACCCTTGCTGCCGGATGCCCCGGGGAGGCAGGGATGGTATCACCTGACCCCGAGTAGTCCCCCGTCACTGACCGGCCCAGGGTCAGGGGCGCCCCACGGAGGGGATCAGTGTGTGGCGCGCACACATGCCCCAACATGCGCACGCCTGAGTCCACATCGCTCAGAAAACTGCGCCGGCTCCGGACGCCCACTCCAGCCCTCGCGCCCTAAGGTCCCCTAGTCAGCAAGAAGCAAGGCCTTGCCTGCCCTGGGGGCCGTTGCTCCGGTGTGCCCTGGAGACCCTGGGCCATCACTCCAGTGCACCCTGGGTGACGACCAGCCGGGAACAGCGCCCAGACAGAAAGGAGGGTGTCTGCAAGGACCCCCAACTTCCCCGCTCCATCAGGGGCGTGGCCTAGAACAGGCAAGGGGAATTGGGGTCTCGGGAGGGTGGCCGGGCCCACCCAGGAGGGACCGTGCACGTCTGAGGCTGATGGGACCGTCCCCCGCCCACCATGTGCGCCCAGAGACGCCGCGAGTCCCTCTGTCCACCTGAAGGCGAGTCTACACAGACAGACCGTAATCTCAAGTTTACAACTAGAACAAAGTCTTCTACCACCTGCAGCCGCCCTCCCAAGCTTGTGCCAGACCCTTGCCCCCCGCGCATAGGAGGGGCATCAGATCCACCCCATGAGAAGAGCCAGGGAGCACTTCTCTCCCCCGGAGGATGGAGGCTGCCTGTTTCCGCTTCTAAGTCCCTAGTTTATTGTTATTCGCATTACGGAGATAGAATCCACATACCATACAACTCACCCTTCAAAAGTGTACAATTCACGGGTCTTTAATACATTCAGAGTTACTCAACCATCAACATGATCCAATTCCAGAACATTCCATTACCCAAAAAAAACCCCTGTCCCCATCAGCAGTCATCCCCCAGCCCCCATGACCCCCCTTCCCATCCGGGGATGAGCCTGTTCTGGACGTTTCACACACATGGATTCACACCCGCGTGGCCTCCCTTGTCTGGTTCCCTCCCTGAGTGTCGTGCGTTTAGGCTCCGTCCACGGGAGGGCAGGTGGGGGCGCCTCGCTCCTGCTCGCGGCCGAGGGACGTGCGCGTGAACAGCGGACCAAGTGTGTCTGTTCATCGGTTGGGGGAGCTGGGTTGTGCCCATCTTCGGGTGTTGAGAAGTGTGTGTGGACGCATGCTTCTGCTTCTCTCGGTGCACACCTGGGGGTCCCTGGGGGCCCACCTGCCGGCTCAGAAGGAAACTTCCAACGGGCGGCACGACGTTCTGGAAGGCCACATAGGGCGCAGCAGGGCCCAGCTCCCCGTGCCCTCCGGCCCCGGGCCGTCGTCCGGGCGGGTGCGCCTCGGGTCCGCGTCTCCATGAATGCCTGCGTTACTTCCAGACACAAGTGTCGTCCCCCAACGGAGACAAGGGCGGAGGCCACAGACACCTGAGAGTGACCCCGTCTGAAGCAGCGGGTATGGAACAGGGCTGAGCAGGGGGCCCGAAGCTGCCCCTGGACAAGGGCGCCCCGGCGGCAGGGGCGTGGGGCCGGGGCCGGGCAGGGGGCGTGCACACAGCCCGGTCTGTGACCACCGGGGGGCTGGACGGGGCAGAAACGGGCAGGAGACCGGCGCCCCCCGAGACGGTAATCAGCCGGGATGAGAGCTGCACAAAACACACCTGTCCTCGGTAAAGAGTCAAGGGCCGCAGGCTCCCAGCCCCCGTGTGGAGGCCCCGCGCACACAGAACCCACGTGCGAGTCACACACCCGCAGGCTCCGGGTCCCACAGTGAGGGGTCGCCGGAACCCACCAACCGTCCCGCTAACAGACACTCAAGAGATGGTTTCCAATCAGATTTTCTTTCTGTCACAAAGTAATCAAGACTACACATGTGTGCACATATGCACACACACTCACAGGTGCACGGACGCCCATGTACACACATACACACACGCTGCCGAGTCAATCAGATGGAAAATCCATGGCAAGCAGAAGGCTCCAAGGAGACACCCTGGGAGACAGAACTCGCCCGCATCTCACGATCCGCTGTCCTGATGACGGCGGACTCGGGTGACCTTCCCGCAGAGGAAGCATCAAAGAAATGTGGCGAAAGCCGGGAGCAGGACCTCCTTGGGGCCACACAGGAGCAGCCGCCAGGGCCGGCCTCCACACAGATGAAGCCCGGGGGACACACGCTTGGGGCAAATAATGACAGATGTGGTCTTTGTCCTGGGGCCTGGCACGCAGCTTCTCTGGGCACCTCCTGCGCGACAGGAGGGTCTCCGCTTTCTGGAAGCCACCCGTTCCCGGCACACCAGAGCTCAGGCCGGGCCTGGCCATCGGCTCGGGGCTGGGGAGGCTGGGGTGCAGAGCACAGGTCTGGGGAAGGCTCGGCGGCCCTGCTGCAGGCAGCCAGACCCAGCTCTGGATTCCACCCCCAGCCCACCTGCACACAGGCTTTCATGGGGCAGGAAGGATATGTACCCTCTGGCCCGAGGCGCGCAGGAGCAGCCCCTCTGGGGGCCTTCTGCTTTTGCACCTTAGCCCCCAGCTCTCCCAGGAGGCCCCTCTTCGGCCATCAGCACATGGCGGTCCCTGGCAGCCCCCTCGTGCCCTGCGCAGTGGCCCCCACCTGCACTTCCAGGCGGGAGGGGCCCTTGGCCCACCCCCCAGACTGGCAGGGGCATCTCCACCAGGCCTCGTGATCCAGGGTGCAAACCCTCCTGGGTGTGCAGAGCGCCCTCTGTGGGCCAGGCGGACCCACGTGCCTATGGGGCAGCTCAGAGGGTCCCCTGTGAGACCCCAGTGACGCCGGGGGTCCGGGGTCTGGCAGCCCCCTCCACCAGTCTCCCCACTCCACAACAGGCTCCCTCTGTGTATGCCTCCCAGCAGCCCCTTGTGGCCTCATGGTCCGAAAGGAGCCCCAACGGCCCAGCAGGCAGCAGAGACAAGGCGACCGGGTACGACAGCAGAGGTGACACACGCCGGCGCCCCCCAACTGCACTCCCCCAAGCCCCGTGCTGGCCCGGGGGGTCTGCTCCCATAGGTGCCATTACCACAGGGGTCGCCGCTCGCAGGGGACAGCAGGTGCCACGGAGGCAGGTGAGCAACCCTTCACTCTGACCCCGACCACGGACAGCCCGGAGGACACCAGCCCCCATTCATCACGACTATTCACAAAAGAGCCACCACCCCACAACCCTGAAGGCAGCACAGACTTGCAAATGTTATGGAAGGTGGCCAAAGTCAGCATGTCCCGGCAGGCCATCCCCCCAACAGGGGCCACACGGGGCACCCCGGTCCTCTCGGGGTACTCAACGCCAGGTGGGAACCGCAGGGGAGTGGCAAGAGCGAATCACATGCTGGCCCGTGGGAAGCAGGGACAGGCTGAGCCAGGGCCAGGACCAGGGCCTGAGAAGAAGAATGCCCTCCAGGTCCCAGGAGGGGCAGGGGCCCAGCCCGGCATACCTGGGGGGGGGGAGCCGCATAACCCGAGGCCCCAGGGGAGCGGAAGTGTCTGCTGTGGGCCCAGGCCCAGCGCCAGAGCTAAAAATACTCTTCCTGGGGGAAGGGGCCTCCCATCCCTCACTCGGGCCTAAAATAAACCCAGTCCCCACGCACCAACTTGGCCTCCGCTTCCTGACACGGGGCAGGAATCCCACAGCAGGATGGGTCCCCTGCCCCCACTGCGGGGACCACCGCCCAGCGCCCGGGCAGCCCCTGGAAGCTGCCGGCCGGCTGCTGCCGCACCCAGCGGGTCTCGCAGAGACCACTCTGGGCCGGAGTGGTGTTCCCCTGCGAGCACCCGCCTCTGCTGAGTTACCTGCCATGGTTTTTGGGGC